GTAGTGTCTCAAATAATCAAAGAGGTAAGTCTCTTCACTCGGTTTTAACCAATCAACACTATTCATATATCTCTGCTTCTGGACCAACGTACTGGCCAACCCATGCCAATAGGCATCCTGACATATTGGATTTTTTTATATCAAAAATTTCTAATCAGATAAACACAAATATAGAAAATATTAGCGACCTTTCTGGTGACCACTCACCAGTCATACTTACCATTGGAGGTGAAGTATTGGTCCCCTCCAGGCCATCCCTTACAAAAGGACCCATCTACTGGGAAAAATTTTAAATTTATATGGATAACGATATTAACCTTAATATTTCACTGAAAACACGAATAGACATTGACCAAGCTGCCCATAACTTCATCCAGTTGATAAAAGACTCTGCCAATGCAGCATCTCCTGATACAAATTCACCAAATAGCGCTGTAAATAAAGAACTCCCTCTTCATATAAAATCATTAATCAATGAAAAAAGACGCGCTAGGGCAAAATGGCAAAACACACATTATGTCTTCTATAAACACATTTATAACAAGTTAGCTAATNACACATTATGACTTCTATAATCACATTTATAACAAGTTAGCTAATAACTTAAAAAAACAACTAAAAAAGTTTAAGTCTGAGCAATATGAAAGATACCTAACCTCACTTAACCCTATGGATAACTCTCTGTAGAACAATTGCACTCAACAATTCATCAAGTGCACAGATTGACCAACACCATTGCATCAGCGCTAGAAAACAAACAGTACTGCACTGGACTGTTTTTAGACGTTGGCAAGGCGTTTGATCGTGTCTGGCATAATGGTTTGCTCTATAAATTAAAAAAAATTCTCCCAGCGCCATTATACTTAATTATTAATTCTTACTTACAAGAAAGAAAATTTACGGTTCGTCAAGGTTGTGCTAATTCACCTTATTACACAATTGAAGCTGGAGTTCCCCGAGGCAGTGATCTCGCACCTGATTTATATAATATATTTACAGCTGAAATACCTCATAGCGATAAAACACTGTTAGCCAGTTTTGCCAACGACACAGCTATACTTTCAACCCACAACAATATTAATGATGCAGCTTATCACCTTCAAACGCATGTGAATTGTTTAGAGTCATGGTTTAGAAATTGGAAGATAAAAATAAATGAAGCCAAGTCAAATCATATCACTTTCGCTCTTCGTCCTGGAATATGTCCAGCCGTTAAAATCAACTATACCATAATCTCTCCTCAGGACGAAACAAAATATCTAGGTATCATTCTAGATAAGCGATTAACATGGGGCCCCCACCTCAAGGACAAACGAAAAAAAGCTAATGCTAGACTTCATATCTTCCGCCCTCTACTTAAATCAAAACTGCAATTAAACACGAAAATGTTGATTTACAAAACTATTATAAGACCAATTTGGTCTTATGAATTACAAATCTGGGGTCCTGCAAAGCCGTCAAATATACGCCCAATTCAGGCGTTCCAGAACATATCACTCCGAATGTTAACTAATGCCCCTTGGTGCATAACGAACAACAACCTACATAACGATTTAAAAATTAAAACAGTTAACGAATTTTCTAAATTACATTACATACGATTCCACTATAAACTGAACTTTAATACAAACCTCCTTATCAAACGTATGTGCACTACCGACTTCCCTGACAATCCTACACGCAGACTTAAATGTAACTGGAACCGTGACCTAATATTATAAAAATTATATTTAACTAATAGAGAGGTGTTACCAATGGGTGACTTCCTTGCATGCTAATTTTAAATAAGCTATGTACATATTTGATATAAAAAAAAACTTATTGTACTTATTCTATTGTACAGATTGTTTTTTGTAAATAAAAAAAAAAAATTTGACCCAATATCTGCCAACAGGAGAGGATTTTTTCACAAAACATTAACTTTTTCAACTTTTTTGAAAATGTTCCGAAAGGTATAATACTTTTATATATATCTTAAATTAAAGCTAATGTAATATACTTCAAATTGAAAAAAAAACCCAGCACAGGGGGGTCGCGGCACAGTGGTGACGTGGCATAGTTGGATCAAGTATAATGATATCTGACAGTGATTAAAATCACTATCAAAAAAAAACGCTTCGATGCAAATCTTTAGATAGTGTTTAATTTTAAAAAATTGGTGGATTATTCCAAAAGCTTCATAAACTGCTAGTTCCTTATTAATATCCTGATTAAGACAAAGTATGTAGAATAAAAAAGAGATTATTAGAAAATAGTATTTCCCATAAAAAAATTATATTGATCAATACACTTTTCAATAAGTTATAGCATTATAATGTTAAAAATGTAAAAAATAAAATTGAGAATTTTCACACAATAATAGCATTTGGTAGCCATTTTCACCTTGAAGATAAAATAAAGTCCGAAATTTTTTTTTTCCATGATAAAGTATATTACATTAGCTTTAATTTAAGATATATATAAAAGTGTCAGACTTTCCGGAACACTTTCAAAATTTAAGTTGAAAAAGTCAATTTTTTGTGAAAAAGTTGTCATTTTGAATCCCCCCCTGTAGGCAGGTAAAAAGTCAGATTTATAAAAAAAATATACCAAATGATAGGTAAAGACATCATGCATCTACAAAAAAAAGAATTATATTGATCCATACATCTTTCGAGAAGTTATAGCATTATAAAGTTAAAAATATAAAAAAGAATTTTTTTACAAAAATCGTATTTTTTTTATTAAGTTTAATGTCTGTTTTCACCATGAAGATAAAATAAAGTCCGAAATTTTTTTTTACCATTATAAAGTATATTACATTAGCTTTAATTTAAGATATATATAAAAGTGTCAGACCTTCCGGAACACTTTCAAAAGTTACGTTGAAAAAGTTCTACTTTCTATATGCATTTTTATGTTTTGAATCCCCCCTGTATTTAGGGAAATGGTCCGATTTAAAAAAACAGTTTGTCGAATGAAAGATGTATACGAATACTACTCCTCATAAAAAAATTGTACTGATCCTTACATTTTTCAAAAAGTTATAGCATAATAAAGTTAAAAATGGAAAATACAAAATCGAAAATTTTCACACAAAAATAGCATTCGGTAGCCATTTTCACCATGAAGATAAAATAAAGTCCGAAATTTTTTTTTACCATGATAAAGTATATTACATTAGCTTTAATTTAAGATATATATAAAAGTGTCAGACCTTCCGGAACACTTTCAAAA